GAGTCTTCAAAATCCAGGGAAAATATCGAAATGCCTGACCCTAATCAAGTTGTGATAGAAAGTGACAAGGTCTCCAAGAAATCGACTAAATCTACAGAGATACGTTCTACCACGACTAGACCAACAAACAAATTCAAACATAGTACTGCAAGTTTGAAGAGAAAGATAAATGCAATTGAAATGGAAAAACGAAGACAAGAATTACAACAAGAGAGCAGACGAATCGAGTATGAGCTAGAAGAGAAAAAACGGCATATAGAGAACAATTTTCGGCTTCTGAAAATGCAAGAAGACTTTGTAGAGGTTGAAAAAGTATTGATGGAACCAACTTTCATGAAGATTCACGAACACACCTGAGTGAAATATCAAAACACGAGGAAGTAGTGAAATGGATAACTGACATTCCTTGTGATGGATTAGATCAGACACTCTTATTGTTCCGGAAACTGATAACTCCAATAATAACAAAGATATATACAAAGATAATACATCAACAAATTTTATGTAGACTTGGATTCCAAGGATACGGAACAGGAAGCACTTCATACTATCTCAGAAGACTGCAAAGTACAGAAGAAAGGAGGCTTTGAAATAGTTAGTTGGATGACAAATTCTCAGACAATACGAGCTGAAGTTGTATTGGCCCATTCAAAGATCATTGGTATAACTTAATTCCATCGTGTTTTGGGACTTTGGTGGAATACCGATGATGACTATTTTTCTTTCAAATTGGATATCAGACATGTTCATGATGAAAAACCGACCAAAAGAAATGTTCTCAAGTGCATTATGTCCGTGTTCGATCCCTTTGGCTTAATATCAACACTTACTATACGAGGTAAAATATTGATGCAGACGATGTGGCGTTCTGGAATCTCCTGGGATAGGTTTTCACCAGTAGAATTCATCAAGCCTTGGCAAAGATGGTTGAAAGATCTAAAGAAAGTAGGGGACTACAAAATACCAAGATGTTACAGTGTTTTGATCTCCGGAGCAGATAGAATTGAACTCCACACGTTTTGTGATAGCAGCGAAGAGGCATATGCCACAGTATGTTATCTTCGAGTATTAAAAAAAGACAAAATAGAGACTTCCATAATTGCTGCGAAAACGAGAGTTGCACCTCTAAAGCAGCTTTCAATTTCGAGGTTAGAATTGCAAGCCGCAGTTATGGAAAGCAGACTGGCATAAACAATTAAATTCGAACTGGAAATACCCATCAATAGAATGTATTTTTCGACAGCCTCTAAATGTGTTCTGGAATGGATGAGAGCAGATGGAAAATTTTCCAAACAATTTGTCACTCTTCGCATAGGTGAAATTCAGGAGAGAAGCAGGGATGAAGATTGGCGTTGGGTACCCAGCCAACTAAATATAGCAGATAATGCTACCACGTCATCCAAAGAAAACATTATATGTGATGATTGGCTATATGGTCCCACATTTTTTAAACAGCCTAAAGTTTTTTGGCCTACTGAAAATTAAAAAATAAAAGATGAAGATGAAAATCTCATGAAAGAGATGAAATCTGTAAATAGATGCTTAGTCATACAAACGTATGAAAATATTATTCCAGACATAAATAGATTTTCGAAATAGCTAATATTTATTCGAGCAATAGCTTTGTGTTTAAGACTCATCAATAACTTGAAGAAAACTGGGATATCAGGAGTACTAACAACTAACGAATTGGAAGCAGAGAAAATTTGCGCAAACAATTTTTAAAGAGTTTGTTTTCCCAGAGATATTCAAAACTTGGAATTTGGAAAACCCATCGATAAACAGAGAAATTTGGTTGGTTTCTTTCCTACTATGAAAAATGGTTTTTTAGTTCTTGGTGGAAGGACTAATAGTATAAGATCCCGATATAAAATGACCTTCACCGAGCTGGTTAATGGATAAAAAGTATTTCAAGTCAAATTAAATATATCGTTAAGTATATTGGAAATGGATTGCCTGAACAATTTCAGTCCAGAATATGATTTTTTTATAATTGAAAAAAATGTTTTTTGGGTTGCTTAATTTTTTCCTGCCCCAACTCTTGGGTTGCCAGGTATAAACAGGTAAATCGATAGTAGTAACTTGCACCGGTCTGGTTAATACATCAAAATTACATTAAAATAAAGATNATTTTAATGTAATTTTGATGTATTAACCAGACCGGTGCAAGTTACTACTATCGATTTACCTGTTTATACCTGGCAACCCAAGAGTTGGGGCAGGAAAAAATTAGGCAACCCAACGTTTGCATACTCTGTAGACTTTATACTGACGAACGGTATATAATTTATCTATTAACTACACCAGTGAAATGTTTGAAAAAATTTTTTTTTCTATTATAAAAAAATCATATTCTGGACTGAAATTGTTCAGGCAACCCATTTCCAATATACTTAACGATATATTTAATTTGACTTGAAAGGTGAAGGTCGTTTTATATCGGGATCTTAGACTATAATTTGGGAATTTGTATGCAAGAATCCACGAGGCAACCAGTGATCTCGAGTCCAAAACATCGGTACACTAGCTTGCTGATTCAACATTTTCATGAAAAGTTGAATCACACTGGAGTGGAAACCATACTGAATGACCTCCGTAAGAAATTTTATATTATTAACGGAAGATCCGCAGTGAAATTGATTTTTGGGAAATGTTTCAAATGTAAAATGAATAAAAGTAAACCACAACCGCCGTTAATGGGTCAACTTTCTGAAGTAAAACTGACGAGAGGGTTCAGATCATTTGAGAATGTTGACATGGATTATTTCGGTCCTTTCTCCATCAAAATTGGTAGAAGACGAGAGAAATGCTGGGGTGTGATACTCACCTGCCTAGCAGTGAGGGCAATTCATCTTAAAGTAGCACATACATTGAATAGTGATTCCACCATAATGTCTGTAATCAGAATGTTTTGGCAAGAAGAGGATGTCCTCGAACAATCTATTGTGACAATGGAACTAATTTGAGAGGGGCATCCAGAGAAATAAAAGAAGCCATGCAAAACATTGACATGCCTTCAATAAAAATTCAATGTATTCAAAAGGCATCGACTTCAAATTTCTACCACCGGCTTCCACACACATGGTAGGAGTATGGGAAAGGTTAATTGGAAGTGTGAGAAGAGTCTTAGGAAAGATTACAGATAGGCAAAATAAGCACTTCAAAATAAGCACAGTAATACCAATACCAAAAATAAATAATACTTATGAAGCATGTTATTTTCGTCCTATCAATACTCTTCCAACCTTTGAAAAAGTATTGGAATTAGTAGTGTATAAGGAACTCAACAAATACTTTGATGAAAACAGGTTACTTTTAGGTTGTCAGTCAGGCTTCAGAAAAAACATTCGTGTGAGGCTGCCTTACAGTTCACAATAACAAATTGGAAAGAAAAAATTGATAAAGATAATTACGTTGTTTGTACATTCTTGGATTTAAAGAGGGCATTCGAAACAAGATCACTCCTG